GGGGGCGGGCGCGCGCGGGGCCACCGCCCCCGCGGCACAGCCAATCGCAGCGAGCCTGCTCCGCGGGCCGAGCCAATGGGAAAGAGGAGCCCCGTCACCCCTCCCCCAGGCCCTCCGGCTGCCTTCAATTTCGCTCAATTTCCTCCCCCGGGCGCACCTCTTGCGGTCAGGGCCAACCGCAGGCGCCAGGAGGCGGGACTTCCGCCGCACGCACGCACGCACTCCCGGAAAAGCCCGGTGAGCCGTTCAGAGATGGCTACTCCGGGGCAGCGCGGCTGGGCGGGCCCCTAGGGACGAGGGCGCAACCTGTGACTGCAACTAAAACCCTGGGCAGGGTACTGGGAGAATCTGGTGGCAGGGGAGTGGAAACGGAAATCAGAACTTTCGGTACCACTGAACCAGTGGCCGTAAAACAAATCTTAAAAGAATTTTAAAACACTTGAAGTCGTACGAAGTATATTCTCTGATATAATGAAATTAAAGTTAAAGTCAATTAAAAAAAAATAACAGGATACTCTCCGAACACTTGAAAGTTAAAGAACACACTTCTAGATAATCTATGGGTCAAATCTCAGGGGTAATAAAACTATTTTGGATGGAAGAAAAATTAAAATATGTCAAAATTTCTGGGATGCAACTAAACCAGTGGTTAAAGTGGAATTTATAACGTCTTCGAAAAGATCTAAAATCAACAGTCAACGCTTCCATTTTAAGAAGTTAGAAAATAATACCAGTTCTACACTAATGCTTCCAAAACTCGAAGAGGAGTGAACATTTTCATTCTATAAGCCCAGCATTATCCTGATAACAAAAGCAGAAAAGGACGAGAAATCTTAAAAGCAATATCCCTGATGAACATAGAAGCAAAAATTCTTAGCCAAGTTTTTGCAAACATTGCAACAACTAATAGGAAGGATAATACATCATAACTAAGTGGTGTTTATTTCAAGAATTCAAGATCGGTTTAACATTCAAAGCTAAGTGTAATTCTCCATGAGATCATCTCAATAGATGCAGAAAATGCTCTTGACAAAATCCAATTTCTCATGAAAACTCAGCAAACTCAGGAAGAGAAGGGACTGTTCATCTATGAACAGTACACAAGCCAAAACAGTCAAAAAAAAAAAAAAAAAAAAGCAAGACCGCCACCTCCCTAATAGCAAAACTTAAACAA